CCACCGCTGCACCGGAACCCTTTCCGACCGTCAAAAAAGGTAAAAACTTCTCCTTTTGCACAAAATCCAATTTTAAGCTCACCCATAATCAAATCGGAGTAAAAAGACCTGTCAATTGGCCAAAAAATACCGGTGAAGCTCGGCGTCATCGCCGCGAGAAATTTCACAAAATGCCTCCGATTAGACCCTTTTTTATTCCCGTTTTGCGTAATTTTTCCACTGTTGTGATCACCGTTTTCTTCTCTACAGGTTGACTTGAGGAAAACACCCAACCGCAACGTGAGTCAGAGGAGCACCGCACCAAAGAGCCCCGCCGCTGGTGAGTTTTGGTTTTTCATATTGTTTCGACCAACTGAGACCCTTTAATGTGTTTCCTCACAGGGATCGATACAAAATCGGCCGAATTTGGTCAAAAATGGCCAACCTGAGGCGGAACACCACTGTGGGCGGCGACACCGTCATCGGAGCACGGCGGAGCCGCCGTGCTGGATTTTTAAAATTAGTCGAGTGGGCCCTAGGACTGATTTTGGGTTTATTTGGAACATTTGTAGGTACTATTAGCGCGTTTCAGTTCCTGATAAAAATTTAAGGAACCTAGGGACCGCCTGTAAACAGTTTAGCTTTTCAAGTATCAAATCGAATAAGGATCCCTCACTCTATTCTCTATCATAGAACTGAAGTTTAAATAAATAATAATATAGTATTTTGTATGATTTTAATAAACATGCATAATTAATTACGGGTTGCTAATAGAGCCGAAACAAAAAATTATCTATTGGTGTTGTTGATTGTTTTTACAGTTTACCTGTATGATGGTATCTTATTTATTTATTTTATGGCTTTGAACGCATGTATGGTTTATTTTACGTGTTTACTGCTGAATCGAGAAAAATAAAGTTTAAATGGTAAAGAAATTGTGTGATTAAATGATTAAATGAAAAGACAGTCTTACTGGATATCCTGGGAGATGGTGGATGGACCGGGTACATAGAAAACCCTACCGTGAACATTCTCTCATACTGAACGGGGTATGGAGACTTGATAATTTGGTGCTCATACCAGACGGGATATGGGGACGGCCCGCTTCACTCTCATACCAGACGGGATATTGAGGTTTGGTAAATTGACGCTAATATCGGATAGGATATGAGGACGGCCCATAATTAAGAATGATAAATGAAAGGGTTCAAGTGTAGCGAGGGCATCCCTATGAACCCTCATGGATACCAGCAGGCTGGTGAAAAGAGTGGTAGTTATTGTTTGATTTATTGATAATAGATATGGATTTATAATATGTACTATGATGGCTGATTATGCATGAAATATTGATATGTATGATAGTATTGTTCTTACAGGTTATTTCCATAAATTCCACTACGTTAAGTGACCGAGAAATACTTTTATAATTGATAAATGAATTTGCTAAATTTAATGCTCCATTAGTAGTTTTTCGATTTTATATCAACATTTACTTCTGTAACAGTAATATAGCATGATATTCTTACTGGGTTAGTGTAACTCATCCTTTATTTAACCATTTCAAATCAAGATGACCAGGTTCCAGAGCTCGATCCGCAAGAAGATTACGAGTAGATGCTAGATCTTTTCTATTTTCTGTTTGTTTCTTTATCTCTCTTGTTTCTTTCAAAAAATGAATTCCATAATGATGTTTAGTACTTTTAAGTTATTGTGTAATGAATGTAAAGTTTAACCTTTTATTTCACTTCCATACTTAAGTTATTATATATTTTCTTTGGGTATTTCTGAGTTCGTTACAAACCATGTCTCCCAAAATTCTTCCGGTATGGGACTCCTCAGCCCCGTCTAGCTGAAGTAATGTTCATAGTAGGATTCCCTATGTACCGGCCATGTCCACCCTTTTCTAGGGTACCCAGTAATGCTTTCATACATATATCTATATCATCAATCAATCGTCAATTTCATGCTAACATTTCGTATTCACAAATCAACATTAGGTTATACTAACAGGTGATATGTACATTAAGAACATAGTTGAGATATTTTATTTCAGAACAGATCAACACGGGAATATGCAGTGAGGTAAACCAAACAACTGAGAAAATAACTCAAAATCATCAATTTAAATATGATCAATATAATAGTAAGCAATTCAAGCAGTACAGAAAAAATACACAATGAATCAGGGCAAATATAAACTGACCGGTTTCGACTTCACTAATGACCTATAATTATTTTTTAGATTTTTTTAATTTTTCACAAAGTACAAGATATTTGATTATTAAATCTCAATTTACCGTAACAGGGAATAGGGTGAGGGATTCTTATTAAGATCGGTATTTTTGAAACGTTGTGCTACCCACTATGCTTCTTGACAAGCCTTGGGTTTCTTGAATTTTTTATGCGGGAATTAAAATATTTGTCACGTACCAAAAAATACCTTAAAAATCCAAAATCGGTGTTGAAAATTCTTTCTGGCCAATTTTAGGATTCCAGCACAACGACACTGTCGTGCTTCGGCACTGGCTTCACTGCCCACAGCGATAGTTCGCCTCAGCCTAGCCATTGTTTTGCTGGTTTTACATGTATCCCTGCAAAAAAATATGTTAGGAAGCCTCAGTTGTCTAGAAAAACTGAAAAATCGAACATACCAGTGGGGGTCTCCGGGTGCGGCGACTCTGCCAGTTCTCCTTCGCAGCTGGGGTTTCTCCTTCGGCGATCCTGTGCAGAAGGGGATAATGAACACAATGGTCAAAGAATCGTGTAAACAGGAAACGGGAAACGGGAAGGGGCTTATTTGAGAGTTTTAGGGTTTTGGCTGCGGCAATTTCGTTGGGCTTTGCCTACGGTTTCTGTCTCACCCGCTGTCTCTTTTGCTCCGTTATAGCCACATAGAGACTTGGAATTGAATTCTAAGTGGGAAGGGGAAAATTTTATCTTTTTTCGCTGTCGACTATGGCTCTGGTGCGAGGCCGACCAGGGACTGGTCTTCTTCTTTGGAGTCTGGTTCTTCTTCTCCGGCAGGAGGCTGGCAGCTAGGGTTGGGTTCTCTTGCGAATAGTAGTTTAAATACTCTCTCATCTTCGATCCGAGCCGTTCGTTTGTGTCAACGTGGAGCGAGAATGATTGTTTGATGGTTTTCCATTTAGGCTGATGGCATGGGCGAATCCGAGCCGTCCATCACAATCCATCTCGTCTGTCCAATCGCATCTGAAGAGAGAACGCATTTGGGCCGTTCACGTGCGCGGTATGAGATCTGGGTCGTCGGATCACTTGGCATGCAGATCACTTGTGTGGCTTCCTGCGTGATGCTAATGTCAGCGATGTTATCACGCGGCATACTCCGGTTCACTGGGCCTGCTGACTGGGCTGTCCCACGTGGTTGAATTTTTTTTTTTTTTTTTTTTGCATTTTAAGCCCCTATTTCTAATTTTTTTTTTCAAAAACACTATCCAATTTCAAATTTTCGTATTTTTTCTTCAAAACTATTTTTAATTTTGTTCCTAATTTATTTTTTTAAAATTCAATAAAATAAAATAAAATTAATTATTAAAATTTTATAACTAAATAAAAATAATAATTTCAGGTCAATTTTCGAGTGTAACTATTATCCTCATAATCTTCTTCTCCATAATTTAATTCAATAGTTCTTTTGTTAAATAAATTAAAGTATTTTTCTTATAAAATTATATTATTAAGTTTAGTTTAAATTCAAACTAAATTTTCATTCCATATTATATATGCATTATAACTTTAAACTTAATTATATAATATATAAATTGTATTTAACTCAAAATTAAACTTTATTTATATTTAAAAATTTTAAACAAATAACTATTATGCATGTTATCAAAATTATTTTTATATTTAAAAATTATAAAGTGTATGATTTAGTCAATAAAAAATTAAATACTATTTTTATATTTTAAATTTTGAAATTGATAATTATCATGTATGTTATCATATTAATTTTTTATATTTTAAAATTTAATTGAATAATATTTAAAATTTTATTTATATATAATGTATAATTATAACTATCGTAGTAATTTTATTTTAATATTTAAAAATTTGAGAGGATAATATCAAGATTTTATCTTTATATAATATATATTTATAATTAATATTAACCTATTATTTTTATATTTTAAGAATTTGAAATAAATAACTGTTATATATATATTATCAAAATTATTATTATATTTAAAAATTATAGAATATATAAAATTTAGTTAATTAAAAGTTAAATTTTATTTTCCTATCTTAAAAATTATCATAGATAAATATTATATATGTTTTCACATTAATTTTTTTTTATATTTTAAAATTTGAGAGGATGATATCTATTATTTTTGAATAGTGTATATATATATATATATAAGTATACTAATATATTATTTTTGTATTTTAAAAATTTAAATAAATAACTATTATATATTATCAAAATTATTTTTAATCAAAAAATTATAGAATATATAATTTGCAGCTAACATTTCCAAAAAGTCAAATAAATAGATGTTACCCATATTATCATTTTTAAAATTTGTGTAGATAATGTTTAACATTTTATTTCTATATAATATACGTAATTATAATTATTGAGTTGATTTTTTTTTTATATTTTAAAATTTGAGTAGATAATATTTAATATTTAATCTTTATGTAATACACATACTTATAAATAATATTATTTTTACTTTTTATTTCAAAAAATAAGAAAACACCATCTGACATTTTTCGATATTCTTTATATATACATATATTAATTTTATAAAATATTAATGAAGATATAATACAAATATGATATAAATTTAAATGAAAATAGTGATTTTTTCTCAAATCAATTTTATAAGTAATAATAACACTGTTATGGATTGGCCAAAATTTTTATAGTTACTTGCAGTTAGGATATTACCCATAAACCCTCAAACTATTTTCAAATTACAATTAAATCCTCAGTCAATAACATGAATAATAGAGTTCAGAATACAATGCACCCGCTATTCTCTCACTTTCACTCTTAGAAGAATCTTTGACCTTCTGTTTTAGAACCTTTCAAAACACCTCTTCCCCAATCATAAATCTTCCAAAAACTTTTTTATTTGTCCATTCAAAACATTAATTAGGGTTTGATTAAGATTTATGATTGAGGAAGAATAAAACAGGAGTTCTAAGAAACGTTATGATTGGGGGACAAAGATCTATGAAAAATGCAAGATATTAAGACTTTGATTATGCTTACAAGCTATCGAAAACTATGAAGATCATCAGATTTCCTCTCTAGAAAGATATGAATTAATGCACTTGGACTCCAAGTGCGTTCCGATGCAAACAAACATTCCTCATAACAAAGAAAATTAAATTCTTAAAACAGAACCGAATCCACCTGTAACTTAAAAATGTAATGCCTAATCAATAATCACTGAAAGAGTTTTGAATGCAAGCAAAATTACCCATATAACAGACGGGAAGAAAGAAAGACTGGCTGAATCCAATAATGTCAGTTCTATGGCGAACAACAATGGCTGTAAGTTTCCTATAGTTCCAAGACAGTAGAAGCTGACTTTTCTACCATTTCTTTAGACTATTATTCTTCAGGTTGCGGTCATTGAGGGAGAGATTTTTGGTTTGATTGATTAGAGCCGCAGTCCCATCAGTGATTCTTCTGGTCCACATTGGATTCTCTTCTGCTCTTCTTTCTCCTGGTTTCATTAGCTTCTACACATAGAAGATAAGGACAGTTTAGCTGAAATACTACTAGGAAAAGAAAATTGAGCGTTATTTCATCAAAAACTTACACTAAAATCTCTTTCCTTGCGTTTATCCATAGGTAAAGGAGCTGACTTGTCAGTCTTCTCGGTTTGAGCAGGCTTCTCTTGTTTTTCATAAAAATTGAAGTCATCTAATAAGCATGATTTTGCAGAGTAATTCTTAAATATGTTAAGCATCTCTAAACCCTCCTTCAGTCCAACCTGCAGATAATAATGACAGCAATACTAGTCTTCACAATATGCGAATTACATAACCTAATATCCAAAAATGCTTACAGTAGATTATTTCCAGGAAAACACGAGGAAATAAAAAAAAAAAAAACAGCAAATATAAGGAAGTAAGCAACAGCAGACTTCAGTTGATTCTTTTTTCTTTTAAACGGAAATAATACAGTAAACCTTCTACTGCAACAAAATTCATATCAGCTTTCATCTAAATGAACTTCAGAATAGAAAGATATTGATGATATGTATGAGAGTTTAAGAAGAAACCTAAAGTTGGAAGTTTTAAGCAAAATAGAGTAAGGTAAGGGTTTTAATCAACCATGATTTCCGGCACTGTGAGTTAACTATAATAAAAGAAAGGTAAAGTGAAGTTTAACCCAACTTGTTTAGTTGAAGAAAGTAAAATAAGACAGGTATTTGCTAAATATGACAAAAATATCATTCTATATTAGTAACATATGTTACAGATATGATAAATATATATGAGACTCTCCCAATCTCTAATTTGCAGGATCTCGATTGAGGGTTAAGAAGATTAGTAACTGAACCCTTACTTTTATTCTCATTAACCCTCTTAAGAAACTATCAAGCAGGGTTATCATTAAATTCTACCATACTTCAATCCTTTTTCTACTCTGAGAAATACCCACAAACACATTGTAAGTTTTGACATGAAGCATGTGCATGTGTAAGAGAAGAAAAGGGAAGGGAGGGGAGGGGAGAGAAGGTTTATGTACTTTAAATTTTCAACTTCATAATGGAATCTTTTTCAAATGCTTCATCAATTTCCAAATGAAGTCCAAAGAGACACAAACTAGACGAGAACTTAAAACCTTAACAAGAATGGTTATACAAGACGAAGTCACACTGAATTCTATATCAGCTCTCAACACTTTTTTTTCTCATAAATCAAACTTACTCTACAGAGTGGATAGATTTCTATGATGTCTTACATGCGATGCCAATGATAAGGAATAGAAAAGTACCTCTTGAGTATCCCTGCTACAAGTCACAGACTTGTATTCATTGTTTTCTAGGGTAATGTGTACCAACGCATAGTTAGGAATATCTTTTAGGATATGCCATTTTACTGGGAAAAACCCACTCCTTCTGTCAATTTGCCAGAAGTCCATGTCCTTGTTAAAATCTACCTTCCCAACCATCTCCGCTAAGCCAACAAACTGACCACTTCCATTAACCTAAATAACAAAGGGAAAACATTAAAATATTCTTCCAGTAGTAGATGCAGGCAGCATCATAGGAATAGCATGAAATTAATCAGTAAATAGAGAAATTTTTCATGATAAACATCTAGCATGTCAAAGAAATAAAAAGAATCAGCAAACTAGAATATTAATGACGTATCTATAACACTGGCATTACATGTATACACTTTTCTTTTTAGTTTAAAATTTATTAAGCAGCCTACTTCATCTTCGGAGAGGGAAAGCCATTTAGTGAACTATTATTTACATAAGAGGTTGTAACAAGCTCACCGAGAAAAAG